ACTATAAAGGACACAATCTGTTGTGTATTTACAGGACACACTATTTAAGCCAGGACACAATCTGTTGTGTATTTACAGCCACTATAAAGGACACAATCTGTTGTGTATTTACAGCCACTATAAAGGACACGATCTGTTGTGTATTTACAGCCACTATAAAGGACACAATCTGTTGTGTATTTACAGCCACTATAAAGGACACAATCTGTTGTGTATTTACAGCCACTATAAAGGACACAATCTGTTGTGTACACACTATAAAGGACACAATCTGTTGTGTATTTACAGCCACTATAAAGGACACAATCTGTTGTGTATTTACAGCCACTATAAAGGACACAATCTGTTGTGTATTTACAGCCACCGTTAAGGACACGATCTGTTGTGTATTTACAGCCACTATAAAGGACACAATCTGTTGTGTATTTACAGCCACTATAAAGGACACAATCTGTTGTGTATTTACAGCCACTATAAAGGACACGATCTGTTGTGTATCTGGACACAATCTGTTGTGTATTTACAGCCACTATAAAGGACACAATCTGTTGTGTATTTACAGCCACTATAAAGGACACAATCTGTTGTGTATTTACAGCCACTATAAAGGACACAATCTGTTGTGTATTTACAGCCACTATAAAGGACACAATCTGTTGTGTATTTACAGCCACTATAAAGGACACAATCTGTTGTGTATTTACCCACTATAAAGGACACAATCTGTTGTGTATTTACAGCCACTATAAAGGACACAATCTGTTGTGTATTTACAGCACACTATAAAGGACTACACAATCTGTTGTGTATTACAGCCACTATAAAGGACACACAATCTGTTACAGCCCACTATAAAGACACAATCTGTTGTGTTGTGTATTTACAGCCACTATAAAGGACACAATCTGTTGTGTATTTACAGCCACTATAAAGGACACAATCTGTTGTGTATTTACAGCCACTATAAAGGACACAATCTGTTGTGTATTTACAGCCACTATAAAGGACACAATCTGTTGTGTATTTACAGCCACTATAAAGGACACAATTTGTTGTGTATTTACAGCCACCGTTAAGGACACAATCTGTTGTGTATTTACAGCCACTATAAAGGACACAATCTGTTGTGTATTTACAGCCACTATAAAGGACACAATCTGTTGTGTATTTACAGCCACTATAAAGGACACAATCTGTTGTGTATTTACGGCCACCACAAAGGACACAATCTGTTGTGTATTTACAGCCACTATAAAGGACACAATCTGTTGTGTATTTACAGCCACTATAAAGGACACAATCTGTTGTGTATTTACAGCCACTATAAAGGACACAATCTGTTGTGTATTTACAGCCACTATAAAGGACACAATCTGTTGTATTTACAGTGTATTTACAGCCACTATAAAGGACACACAATCAGCCACTGGACACAATCTGTTGTGTATTTACAGCCACTATAAAGGACACAATCTGTTGTGTATTTACAGCCACTATAAAGGACACAATCTGTTGTGTATTTACAGCCACTATAAAGGACACAATCTGTTGTGTATTTACAGCCACTATAAAGGACACAATCTGTTGTGTATTTACAGCCAGCCACTATAAAGGACACAATCTGTTGTGTACAGCCACTATAAAGGACACAATCTGTTGTGTATTTACGGCCACTATAAAGGACACAATCTGTTGTGTATTTACAGCCACTATAAAGGACACGATCTGTTGTGTATTTACAGCAATAAAGGACACAATCTGTTGTGTATTTACAGCCACTATAAAGGACACAATCTGTTGTGTATTTACAGCCAAGGACACAATCTGTTGTGTATTTAAGGCCACTATAAAGGACACAATCTGTTGTGTATTTACAGCCACTATAAAGGACACAATCTGTTGTGTATTTACAGCCACTATAAAGGACACAATCTGTTGTGTATTTACAGCCACTATAAAGGACACAATCTGTTGTGTATTTACAGCCACTATAAAGGACACAATCTGTTGTGTATTTACAGCCACTATAAAGGACACAATCTGTTGTGTATTTATAAAGGACACTATAAAGGGACACAATCTGTTGTGTATTTACAGCCACTATAAAGGACACAATCTGTTGTGTATTTACAGCCACTATAAAGGACACAATCTGTTGTGTATTTACAGCCACTATAAAGGACACAATCTGTTGTGTATTTACAGCCACTATAAAAGGACACATCTGTTGTGTATTTACAGCCACTATAAAGGACACAATCTGTTGTGTATTTACAGCCACTATAAAGGACACAATCTGTTGTGTTGTGTATTTACAGCCACTATAAAGGACACAATCTGTTGTGTATTTACAGCCACTATAAAGGACACAATCTGTTGTGTATTTACAGCCACTATAAAGGACACAATAAAGGACACAATCTGTTGTGTATTTACAGCCACTATAAAGGACACAATCTGTTGTGTATTTACAGCCACTATAAAGGACACAATCTGTTGTGTATTTACAGCCACTATAAAGGACACAATCTGTTGTGTATTTACAGCCACTATAAAGGACACAATCTGTTGTGTATTTACAGCCACTATAAAGGACACAATCTGTTGTGTATTTACAGCCACCGTTAAGGACACAATCTGTTGTGTATTTACAGCCACCGTTAAGGACACAATCTGTTGTGTATTTACAGCCACTATAAAGGACACAATCTGTTGTGTATTTACAGCCACTATAAAGGACACATTCTGTTGTGTATTTACAGCCACCACAAAGGACACAATCTGTTGTTCACAAAATAATGTTCTGTACTATTCCTTCAGGTTTGGGCCCCCAACTCGAACCCTTATCCTAATCTTAAGTGGATTGTGTCCCTTAGGGTTGGCATTTCAATATTAACTTACAACAGATTGTGTCCCTTAGGGTTGGCATTTCAAGTATTTACTTACAACAGATTGTGTCCCTTAGGGTTGGCATTTCAAGTATTAACTTACAACAGATTGTGTCCCTTAGGGTTGGCATTACAAGTATTAACTTACAACAGATTGTGTCCCTTAGGGTTGGCATTTCAAGTATTAACTTTCAACAGATTGCTCACCTGCTGCTGGTTGGGAGGCAACATCCACAATATCATATTTTGTATGCATGTGTGTACACCTGAGATGATTGCTGATTATATATCTATGAGTGTGTGTGTACACCTGAGATGATTGCTGATTATATATCTGTGTGTGTGTGTGTGTATACACCTGAGATGATTGCTGATTATATATCTGTGTGTGTGTGTGTATACACCTGAGATGATTGCTGATTATATATCTGTATGTGTGTATACACCTGAGATGATTGCTGATTATATATCTGTGTGTGTGTGTGTATACACCTGAGATGATTGCTGATTATATATCTGTGTGTGTGTGTGTATTCACCTGAGATGATTGCTGATTATATATCTGTGTGTGTGTGTGTATACACCTGAGATGATTGCTGATTATATATCTGTGTGTGTGTATACACCTGAGATGATTGCTGATTATATATCTGTGTGTGTGTGTGTATACACCTGAGATGATTGCTGATTATATATCTGTGTGTGTGTGTATACACCTGAGATGATTGCTGATTAAATATCTGTGTGTGTGTATACACCTGAGATGATTGCTGATTATATATCTGTGTGTGTATGTATACACCTGAGATGATTGCTGATTAAATATCTGTGTGTGTGTATACACCTGAGATGATCGCTAATTATATATCTGTGTGTGTGTGTATACACCTGAGATGATTGCTGATTATATATCTGTGTGTGTGTGTATATACACCTGAGATGATCACTGATTATATATCTGTATGTGTGTATACACCTGAGATGATTGCTGATTATATATCTGTGTGTGTGTGTATACACCTGAGATGATCGCTGATTATATATCTGTTTGTGTGTGTATACACCTGAGATGATCCCTGATTATATATCTGTATGTGTGTATACACCTGAGATGATTGCTGATTATATATCTGTGTGTGTGTGTATACACCTGAGATGATCACTGATTATATATCTGTATGTGTGTGTATACACCTGAGATGATTGCTGATTATATATCTGTATGTGTGAATACACCTGTGATCGCTGATTATATATCTGTATGTGTGTTTACACCTGAGATGGTCGCTGATTATATATCTGTATGTGTGTCACGTCAGTAATCGTTGTGTGTATGTGTCAGTGACTTATGAGAGAGTTATCGTGTGTCTATGCATATTTTAGGCCTTTGTGTGACATACATTATGTGTGTGGTGTGGGATATACATTTTGTTGGTACATGTGAATGTGCACACATTCATGCATGTGCATGCATGCATACACACACATTCACTCAATCACTCACCTACTCTCGAACACATACACACACACACATTCACTCAATCACTCACCTACACTCGAACACACAGACACACACATTCACTCAATCACTCACCTACACTCGAACACACACACACACACATTCACTCAATCACTCACCTACACTCGAACACACACACACACACATTCACTCAATCACTCACCTACACACAAACACACACACAGACACACACATTCACTCAAACACACACACACACATGCTCTAGTATGATGTAAAGTCATGCTGTAGTCTTTTCCTACAGATTTTGATTATGGAGAAATGAGTTCCAGTGACATGTTCCGGTTTGTTCATACAATGAATGGAAATGCAGGCGGGCAACTGTTCATGCCAGTCCAACAGCCTCTACAGCAGCAGCACTTTCTACACCAGCACCAGCATGTGCCCGATGCTGGCACACACAGTACGTTTGATTGTGGTCATTGTGTGTACGTTTGATTGTGGTCAGTGTGTGTACGTTTGATTGTGGTCATTGTGTGTACATTGTTTATAGCACCACATACTTAATACACTGCATGAAAATGGTGTATTCCTTTCTTTTCTGATGACCCTTGTTGGCACTTTCCTGTCTTCCCTGATGTCCTTGTTGTTGGCACCTCCCTGTCTTCCCTGATGTCCTTGTTGTTGGCACCTTCCTGTCTTCCCTGATGTCCTTGTTGTTGGCACCTCTCTGTCTTTCCTTAAGTTCTTGTTGTTGGCACCTTCCTGTCTTCCCTGATGACACTTGTTGGCACCTTCCTGTCTTCCCTGGTGCACTTGTTGGCACCTTCCTGTCTTCCCTGGTGACACTTGTTGGCACCTTCCTGTCTTCATTGATGACCTTTATTGGCACCTTCCTGTCTTCCCTGATGTCCTTGTTGTTAGCACCTTCCTGTCTTCCCTGATGACACTTGTTGGCACCTTCCTGTCTTCCCTGGTGCACTTGTTGGCACCTTCCTGTCTTCCCTGGTGCACTTGTTGGCACCTTCCTGTCTTCCCTGATGACCCTTGTTGGCATCTTCCCGTCTTTCCTGATGACCTTGTTGTTGGCACCTTCCTGTCTTTCCTGATGACCCTTGTTAGCACCTCCCTGTTTTCCCTGTTGACCCCTGTTGTTGGCACCTTCCTGTCTTCCCTGATGTCCTAACTTTGTTGTTAGCACCTTCCTGTCTTCCCTGATGACCCTTGTTGTTGGCACCTTCCTGTCTTCCCTGAAGTCCTTGTTGTTGGCGTCTTCCATGATGTCACTTATTGGCACCTTCCTGTCTTCCCTGATGTCCTTGTTGTTGGCATCTTCCTGTCTTCCATGATGTCACTTATTGGCACCTTCCTGACTTCCCTGATGTCCTTGTTGTTGGCATCCAATATTTCAGTGTTTGTGATCTTGTGCTTCTGGCACTGACTTTGCTAACAATCAGTGTTCATCAGTCATGTCCTAACGGGTGTTACACATTTCTCGTGCAAGTGTAACAATGTTGTTTTTTTTTTTTTAAAACCCTGTCATCTCGAAAAACTGCAACACTGACATTTAAATTTACATTTGGGTCCAGATCCCTGTAAATGTCAGGCTATGATGACATCTACGGTTGGGTCCACATCCCTGTAAATGTCAGGCTGTGATGACATCTATGGTTGGGTCCAGATCCCTGTAAATGTCAGGCTGTGATGATATCTTCATTTGGGTCCAGATCCCTGTAAATGTCATGCTACTGCGATGACATCTATGGCTGGGTCCAGATCCCTGTAAATGTCAGGCTATGATGACATCTATGGCTGGGTCCGGATCCCTGTAAATGTCAGGCTGTGATGACATCTATGGCTGGGTCCTGATCCCTGTAAATGTCAGGCTGTGATGACATCTATTGCTGGGTCCTGATCCCTGTAAATGTCAGGCTATGATGACATCTACAGTTGGGTCTGGATCCCTGTAAATGTCAGGCTATGATGACATCTATGGTTGGGTCCTGATCCCTGTAAATGTCAGGCTATGATGACATCTTCATTTGGGTCCAGATCCCTGTAAATGTCAGGCTGTGATGACATCTACGGTTGGGTCCTGATCCCTGTAAATGTCAGGCTATGATAACATCTTCATTTGGGTCCAGATCCCTGTAAATGTCCGGCTGTGATGACATCTATGGTTGGGTCCAGATCCCTGTAAATGTCAGGCTGTGATGACATCTATGGTTGGGTCCGGATCCCTGTAAATGTCAGGCTGTGATGACATCTACGGTTGGGTCCAGATCCCTGTAAATGTCAGGCTGTGATGACATCTATGGTTGGGTCCGGATCCCTGTAAATGTCAGGCTGTGATGACATCTACGGTAGGGTCCAGATCCCTGTAAATGTCAGGCTACTGTGATGACATCTATGGTAGGGTCCAGATCCCTGTAAATGTCAGGCTGTGATGACATCTACGGTTGGGTCTAGATCCTGTAAATGTCAGGCTGTGATGACATCTACGGTAGGGTCCGGATCCCTGTAAATGTCAGGCTATGATGACATCTATGGTTGGGTCCAGATCCCTGTAAATGTCAGGCTGTGATGACATCTATGGTTGGGTCCAGATCCCTGTAAATGTCAGGCTGTGATGACATCTACGGTTGGGTCCAGATCCCTGTAAATGTCAGGCTGTGATGACATCTACGGTTGGGTCCAGATCCCTGTAAATGTCAGGCTGTGATGACATCTACGGTTGGGTCCAGATCCCTGTAAATGTCAGGCTGTGATGGCATAGCCACGGAGGGGTCCTTTACTTGACTGTATACATTGATGCCTGTTCTCTGACTTGGGTCCTTTACTTGACTGTATACATTGATGCCTGTTCTCTGGCTGGGGTCCTTTACTTGACTGTATACATTGATGTCTGTTCTCTGACTTGGGTCCTTTACTTGACTGTATACATTGATGTCTGTTCTCTGACTGGGGTCCTTTACTTGACTGTATACATTGTTGCCTGTTCTCTGACTGGGGTCCTTTACTTGACTGTATACATTGATGTCTGTTCTCTGACTGGGGTCCTTTACTTGACTGTATACATTGATGCCTGTTCTCTGGCTGGGGTCCTTTACTTGACTGTATACATTGATGCCTGTTCTCTGGCTGGGGTCCTTTACTTGACTGTATACATTGATGCCTGTTCTCTGACTGGGAAATCTCTGACAGTATCAGGGGAGATAAAGCAATTGTTTTACGTTTAGTAAAGCAATTGTGTCCCCTTGTATATCAGTCTCTAAAATACTCATCTTGTCTCATGTGCAGGTCGTTCAGTCCAGGAATCTCAGCAGTACGGGCACCATGCTGTGTCTGCAGCCACAGTCCCCTCTCCGTACACGCAGTCCAGAGACAGACATCGCCACACATTTGCTGCCCCAATCCACCCACCACAACCACCAGCACCGGCACCTTCGGTGGAAATATTGGAACAACCAAAGTCTCGAGGGTTGAGGTTCAGATACGAGTGCGAGGGCAGGTCAGCCGGCAGTGTCCCTGGAGAAAACAGCAGCAACGAACATAGGACATACCCGACTATCAAGGTCAGCTCCGTTGTGGTGTGGATGTCTTGCATTTCATTATTTTTTATGTCCAGAACATTGAAAACTGTTAATACGTCATGGTTCATAATTTGTGGGTGTCAAGAATCTGATATATTTGATCATGCTTTGTTGTGTCTGCTCTGATTCTGTTTCTCAGTTCTGTTGCTGTTGTTGACAAAGTATCATATTTGACTGAAAGTGTCGTCAGTATTAAGAAAGAAGATTTAATAACCATAAACTTGTGATAATTCTTACATGTAGAAGATAAAAACTATTGTGTTAAGATTGTAGTGGGGAACTGTTGTGTTCAGATTGTAGTGTGAAACTGTTGTGTTCAGATTGTAGTGGGGAACTGTTGTGTTCAGATTGTAGTGGGGAACTGTTGTGTTCAGATTGTAGTGTGAAACTGTTGTGTTCAGATTGTAGTGGGGAACTGTTGTGTTCAGATTGTAGTGTAGAGCTGTTGTGTTCAGATTGTAGTGTAGAGCTGTTGTGTTCAGATTGTAGTGTGGAACTGTTATGTTCAGATTGTAGTGGGGAACTGTTGTGTTCAGATTGTAGTGGGGAACTGTTGTGTTCAGATTGTAGTGTGGAACTGTCGTTTCAGATTGTAGTGTGGGACTGTTGTGTTCAGATTGTAGTGGGGAACTGTTGTGTTCAGATTGTAGTGTGAAACTGTTGTGTTCAGATTGTAGTGGGGAACTGTTGTGTTCAGATTGTAGTGTGGAACTGTTGTGTTCAGATTGTAGTGGGGAACTGTTGTGTTCAGATTGTAGTGGGGAACTGTTGTGTTCAGATTGTAGTGGGGAACTGTTGTGTTCAGATTGTAGTGGGGAACTGTTGTGTTCAGATTGTAGTGTGGAACTGTCGTGTTCAGATTGTAGTGTGGGACTGTTGTGTTCAGATTGTAGTGGGGAACTGTTGTTCAGATTGTAGTGGGGAACTGTTGTGTTCAGATTGTAGTGGGGAACTGTTGTGTTCAGATTGTAGTGGGGAACTGTTGTGTTCAGATTGTAGTGGGGAACTGTTGTGTTCAGATTGTAGTGTGGAACTGTCGTGTTCAGATTGTAGTGTGGGACTGTTGTGTTCAGATTGTAGTGGGGAACTGTTGTTCAGATTGTAGTGGGGAACTGTTGTGATCAGATTGTAGTGTGAAACTGTTGTGTTCAGATTGTAGTGTGGAACTGTCATGTTCAGATTGTAGTGTGGGACTGTTGTGTTCAGATTGTAGTGTGGAACTGTCATGTTCAGATTGTAGTGTGGAACTGTCGTGTTCAGATTGTAGTGTGGGACTGTTGTGTTCAGATTGTAATGTAGAACTGTTGACATTTCCAGTGTTATTTCAAGAGTTGGAATTTGATCTGTTTTAATAATTATCTTAAATTCTGGTACATTTTTTTCTTCAGTGAATATAATGGCTCTGGTATGGCACTAGAATAATCCAGTGGGTGGTGGTAACTGTTGGTGCAGAATTGGTTTTGGATGTCGCAGGAGATGGTGGTAGCCTACAAATGCAGATGATGTTAGGGATATGGGAAAGCTGCGGACAGAAATAGCCTAGCCCAGATTTTATCAATTCCTCAAAGAGTTTCATTGTCATCTTTCTAATGGACATTACTTCAGTTGTTATTCTTGATTTTCAGTGTCATCTTTCTAATAACTTCAGTTGTTATTCTTGATTTTCATTGTCATCTTTCTAATAACTTCAGTTGTTATTCTTGATTTTCAGTGTCATCTTTCTAATAACTTCAGTTGTTATTCTTGATTTTCAGTGTCATCTTTCTAATAACTTCAGTTGTTATTCTTGATTTTCAGTGTCATCTTTCTAATAACTTCAGTTGTTATTCTTGATTTTCATTGTCATCTTTCTAATAACTTCAGTTGTTATTCTTGATTTTCATTGTCATCTTTCTAATAACTTCAGTTGTTATTCTTGATTTTCAGTGTCATCTTTCTAATAACTTCAGTTGTTATTCTTGATTTTCAGTGTCATCTTTCTAATAACTTCAGTTGTTATTCTTGATTTTCAGTGTCATCTTTCTAGGGGGAGCCATGCCAGGTAGAGTGTAGGACCTAATGGGGGAGCCATGCCAGGTAGAGTGTAGGACCTAATGGGGGAGCCATGCCAGGTAGAGTGTAGGACCTAATGGGGGAGCCATGCCAGGTAGAGTGTAGGACCTGATAGGGGGAGCCATGCCAGGTAGAGTGTAGGACCTAATGGAGGAGCCATGCCAGGTAGAGTGTAGGACCTGATGGAGGAGCCATGCTAGGTAGAGTGTAGGACCTAATGGGGGGAGCCATGCCAGGTAGAGTGTAGGACCTAATGGGGGAGCCATGCCAGGTAGAGTGTAGGACCTAATGAAGGAGCCATGCCAGGTAGAGTGTAGGACCTAATGGGGGGAGCCATGCCAGGTAGAGTGTAGGACCTGATAGGGGGAGCCATGCCAGGTAGAGTGTAGGACCTAATGGAGGAGCCATGCCAGGTAGAGTGTAAGACCTAATGGGGGGAGCCATGCCAGGTAGAGTGTAGGACCTAATAGTGGGAGCCATGCCAGATGCATGCTTTGCTAAGTTTCCAAACGAAACAACTTTAAATAAAGGTGTCTAACATACCCAAGAAAAATGTACCTGTTTGTGTGCTATTGAAGTCCAGGATCTGCAGACTGCTCTCTACAGTCCGTGATGAGTGAAAAGCTGAACAAATGGCTGAAAGGTTTAAGCAGTCATGTGCAGGGTGTGACGATTCCTTGGTGAGCCCAAGACCAGAGTCATGTGTCGGCTCTGCATTTGTGGAAGTCTTCTTGGATGACGGGGAAAGCTCATGATCTTCCCTGTCTAAACGCGGATTCCCTAGACGAGGTCTTCGAGACCTGTAGATAATGGGACAAAGAACACCACACAAATGAGGCTGACACAACATGTCCCTGTCCTACGATACTATCCAGGAGGTTAACCCGGTCAACAAATGCTCGATGAAGTTGGATGTTTTGGCTGAGAGTTGCAAATGTGGCATTTACATCACTTAGATGGAGAAAAAGAAGAAGAAACTGGAAGTTATCTTGTTTGTAATATTTTTTCTAAAATTTTCTATTTGACTCAGAGTGAATGGTTGATACTGGCAAAATAAATTCTTACTCACTCTTTTTGTTTGACTATAGAAGGTAGATTTCGGGGGCTTGTTACTGCATACAAATTTGTATTATCAAATGGTGGGGTAGATCAGATAAGTTAAGGAATCTATGTGTTAGTGGACAGATTGCCAGTAAGTTAATGCTGGTTGATGATTTCTGCAGATACACAACTACACTGGCCCTGCCATCATCGTTGTGTCCTGTGTGACCAAAGAGCTGCCCCCACACTGCAAACCCCATCCCCACGCTGTGGTTGGCAGGGACTGCAAGAAAGGGGTCTGCACACTCAGGGTCAAAGACACCAGTGACAAGATTGTGTGAGTTTGACCTTGCTAATTAACTTTGAAACCAGCTTGTAATTTGGCTATGTCATTTCTTGCTTTAGACTGATGGAAAGTAGAGAATCACTTGGGTAGCTTGTTTCAATACCTTGAGACCAACTCTCCTTGTAGATCAAAAAGACATAAATAGTGGTTATAACAGGGAAAGGCTCAATGCTTCAGCAAGTCAACACGTCCAAATATTTGTACACAGTTATAGCATCTGATGGAAGATGTGTGACAGTTATAGCATCTGATGGAAGATGTGTGAACAGTTATAGCATCTGATGGAAGATGTGTGACAGTTATAGCATCTGATGGAAGATGTGTGAACAGTTATAGCATCTGATGGAAGATGTGTGCACAGTTATAGTATCTGATGGAAGATGTGTGACAGTTATAGCATCTGATGGAAGATGTGTGAACAGTTATAGCATCTGATGGAAGATGTGTGACAGTTATAGCATCTGATGGAAGATGTGTGACAGTTATAGCATCTGATGGAAGATTTGTGACAGTTATAGCATCTGATGGAAGATGTGTGACAGTTATAGCATCTGATGGAAGATTTGTGACAGTTATAGCATCTGATGGAAGATGTGTGACAGTTATAGCATCTGATGGAAGATGTGTAAACAGTTATAGTATCTGATGGAACATGTGTGAACAGTTATAGCATCTGATGGAAGATGTGTGAACAGTTATAGCATCTGATGGAACATGTGTGACAGTTATAGCATCTGATGGAAGATTTGTGACAGTTATAGCATCTGATGGAACATGTGTGAACAGTTATAGCATCTGATGGAAGATTTGTGAACAGTTATAGCATCTGATGGAACATGTGTGAACAGTTATAGCATCTGATGGAAGATTTGTGAACAGGTATAGCATCTGATGGAAGATGTGTGAACAGTTATAGCATCTGATGGAAGATGTGTGACAGTTATAGCATCTCATGGAAGATGTGTGAACAGTTTTAGCATCTGATGGAAGATGTGTGAGCAGTTATAGCATCTGATGGAAGATGTGTGAACAGTTATGGAAGATGTGTGAACAGTTATGGAAGATGTGTGAACAGTTATGGAAGATGTGTGACAGTTATAGCATCTGATGGAAGATGTGTAAACAGTTATAGCATCTGATGGAAGATGTGTGACAGTTATAGCATCTGATGGAAGATTTGTGACAGTTATAGCATCTGATGGAAGATTTGTGACAGTTATAGCATCTGATGGAAGATGTGTGACAGTTATAGCATCTGATGGAAGATGTGTGAACAGTTATAGCATCTGATGGAAGATGTGTGAGCAGTTATAGCATCTGATGGAAGATGTGTGAACAGTTATGGAAGATGTGTGAACAGTTATGGAAGATGTGTGAACAGTTATGGAAGATGTGTGACAGTTATAGCATCTGATGGAAGATGTGTAAACAGTTATAGCATCTGATGGAAGATGTGTGACAGTTATAGCATCTGATGGAAGATTTGTGACAGTTATAGCATCTGATGGAAGATTTGTGACAGTTATAGCATCTGATGGAAGATGTGTGACAGTTATAGCATCTGATGGAAGATGTGTGAACAGTTATAGCATCTGATGGAAGATGTGTGACAGTTATAGCATCTGATGGAAGATTTGTGACAGTTATAGCATCTGATGGAAGATGTGTGACAGTTATAGCATCTGATGGAAGATGTGTGACAGTTATAGCATCTGATGGAAGATTTGTGACAGTTATAGCATCTGATGGAAGATGTGTGACAGTTATAGCATCTGATGGAAGATGTGTGACAGTTATAGCATCTGATGGAAGATGTGTGACAGTTATAGCATCTGATGGAAGATGTGTGACAGTTATAGCATCTGATGGAAGATGTGTGAACAATTATAGCATCTGATGGAAGATGTGTGAACAGTTATAGCATCTGATGGAAGATGTGTGACAGTTATAGCATCTGATGGAAGATGTGTGACAGTTATAACATCTGATGGAAGATGTGTGAACAGTTATAGCATCTGATGGAAGATGTGTGACAGTTATAGCATCTGATGGAAGATTTGTGAACAGGTATAGCATGTGATGGAAGATGTGTGAACAGTTATAGCATCTGATGGAAGATGTGTGACAGTTATAGCATCTCATGGAAGATGTGTGAACAGTTTTAGCATCTGATGGAAGATGTGTGAGCAGTTATAGCATCTGATGGAAGATGTGTGACAGTTATAGCATCTGATGGAAGATGTGTGAACAGTTATAGCATCTGATGGAAGATGTGTGACAGTTATAGCATCTGATGGAAGATTTGTGAACAGGTATAGCATGTGATGGAAGATGTGTGAACAGTTATAGCATCTGATGGAAGATGTGTGACAGTTATAGCATCTCATGGAAGATGTGTGAACAGTTTTAGCATCTGATGGAAGATGTGTGAGCAGTTATAGCATCTGATGGAAGATGTGTGAACAGTTATGGAAGATGTGTGAACAGTTATGGAAGATGTGTGAACAGTTATGGAAGATGTGTGAACAGTTATGGAAGATGTGTGACAGTTATAGCATCTGATGGAAGATGTGTGAACAGTTATAGCATCTGATGGAAGATGTGTGACAGTTATAGCATCTGATGGAAGATTTGTGACAGTTATAGCATCTGATGGAAGATTTGTGACAGTTATAGCATCTGATGGAAGATGTGTGACAGTTATAGCATATGATGGAAGATGTGTGAACAGTTATAGCATCTGATGGAAGATGTGTGACAGTTATAGCATCTGATGGAAGATTTGTGACAGTTATAGCATCTGATGGAAGATGTGTAACAGTTATAGCATCTGATGGAAGATGTGTGACAGTTATAGCATCTGATGGAAGATGTGTGAACAGTTATAGCATCTGATGGAAGATTTCTGAACAGTTATAGCATCTGATGGAAGATGTGTGAACAGTTATAGCATCTGATGGAAGATGTGTGACAGTTATAGCATCTGATGGAAGATGTGTGAACAGTTATAGCCTCTGATGGAAGATGTGTCAATAGTTATAGCATCTGATGGAAGATGTGTGACAGTTATAGCATCTGATGGAAGATGTGTGAACAGTTATAGCATCTGATGGAAGATGTGTGAACAGTTATAGCATCTGATGGAACATGTGTGAACAGTTATAGCATCTGATGGAAGATTTGTGAACAGGTATAGCATCTGATGGAAGATGTGTGAACAGTTATAGCATCTGATGGAAGATGTGTGACAGTTATAGCATCTCATGGAAGATGTGTGAACAGTTTTAGCATCTGATGGAAGATGTGTGAGCAGTTATAGCATCTGATGGAAGATGTGTGAACAGTTATGGAAGATGTGTGAACAGTTATGGAAGATGTGTGAACAGTTATGGAAGATGTGTGACAGTTATAGCATCTGATGGAAGATGTGTGAACAGTTATAGCATCTGATGGAAGATGTGTGACAGTTATAGCATCTGATGGAAGATTTGTGACAGTTATAGCATCTGATGGAAGATTTGTGACAGTTATAGCATCTGATGGAAGATGTGTGACAGTTATAGCATCTGATGGAAGATGTGTGAACAGTTATAGCATCTGATGGAAGATGTGTGACAGTTATAGCATCTGATGGAAGATTTGTGACAGTTATAGCATCTGATGGAAGATGTGTGACAGTTATAGCATCTGATGGAAGATGTGTGACAGTTATAGCATCTGATGGAAGATTTGTGACAGTTATAGCATCTGATGGAAGATGTGTGACAGTTATAGCATCTGATGGAAGATGTGTGACAGTTATAGCATCTGATGGAAGATGTGTGACAGTTATAGCATCTGATGGAAGATGTGTGACAGTTATAGCATCTGATGGAAGATGTGTGAACAATTATAGCATCTGATGGAAGATGTGTGAACAGTTATAGCATCTGATGGAAGATGTGTGACAGTTATAGCATCTGATGGAAGATGTGTGACAGTTATAACATCTGATGGAAGATGTGTGAACAGTTATAGCATCTGATGGAAGATGTGTGACAGTTATAGCATCTGATGGAACATGTGTGAACAGTTATAGCATCTGATGGAAGATTTGTGAACAGTTATAGCATCTGATGGAACATGTGTGAACAGTTATAGCATCTGATGGAAGATTTGTGAACAGGTATAGCATCTGATGGAAGATGTGTCAACAGTTATAGCATCTGATGGAAGATGTGTGACAGTTATAGCATCTCATGGAAGATGTGTGAACAGTTTTAGCATCTGATGGAAGATGTGTGAGCAGTTATAGCATCTGATGGAAGATGTGTGAACAGTTATGGAAGATGTGTGAACAGTTATGGAAGATGTGTGAACAGTTATGGAAGATGTGTGACAGTTATAGCATCTGATGGAAGATCTGTGAACAGTTATAGCATCTGATTGAAGATGTGTGACAGTTATAGCATCTGATGGAAGATTTGTGACAGTTATAGCATCTGATGGAAGATTTGTGACAGTTATAGCATCTGATGGAAGATGTGTGACAGTTATAGCATCTGATGGAAGATGTGTGAACAGTTATAGCATCTGATGGAAGATGTGTGACAGTTATAGCATCTGATGGAAGATTTGTGACAGTTATAGCATCTGATGGAAGATGTGTGACAGTTATAGCATCTGATGGAAGATGTGTGACAGTTATAGCATCTGATGGAAGATGTGTGAACAGTATAGCATCTGATGGAAGATTTCTGAACAGTTATAGCATCTTATGGAAGATGTGTGAACAGTTATAGCATCTGATGGAAGATGTGTGACAGTTATAGCATCTGATGGAAGATGTGTGAACAGTTATAGCATCTGATGGAAGATGTGTCAATAGTTATAGCATCTGATGGAAGATGTGTGACAGTTATAGCATCTGATGGAAGATGTGTGAACAGTTATAGCATCTGATGGAAGATGTGTGAACAGTTATAGCATCTGATGGAAGATGTGTGAACAGTTATATCATCTGATGGAAGATGTGTGAACAGTTATAGCATCTGATAGAAGATGTGTGAACAGTTATAGCATCTGATAGAAGATGTGTGACAGTTATAGCATCTGATGGAAGATGTGTGAACAGTTATAGCTTCTGATGGAAGATTTGTGAACAGTTAAAGCATCTGATGGAAGATGTGTGGACAGTTATAGCATCTGATGGAAGATGTGTGAACAGTTATGGAAGATGTGTAACAGTTATAGCATCTGATGGAAGATGTGTGAACAGTTATGGAAGATGTGTAACAGTTATAGCATCTGATGGAAGATGTGTGACAGTTATAGCATCTGATGGAAGATTTGTGAACAGTTATAGCTTCTGATGGAAGATGTGTGACAGTTATAGCATCTGATGGAAGATGTGTAAACATTTATAGCATCTGATAGAAGATGTGTGAACAGTTATAGCATCTGATGGAAGATGTGTGACAGTTATAGCATCTGATGTAAGATGTGTGAACAGTTATAGCATCTGATGGAAGATGTGTGACAGTTATAGCATCTGATGGAAGATGTGTGACAGTTATAGCATCTGATGGAAGATGTGTGACAGTTATAGCATCTGATGGAAGATGTGTGACAGTTATAGCATCTGATGGAAGATGTGTGAACAGTTATAGCATCTGATGGAAGACGTGTAAACAGTTATAGCCTCTGATGGAACATGTGTGAACAGTTATAGCATCTGATTTAAGATGTGTGAACAGTTATAGCATCTGATGGAAGATGTGTGACAGTTATAGCATCTGATGGAAGATGTGTGACAGTTATAGCATCTGATGGAAGATGTGTGAACAGTTATAGCATCTGATGGAAGATTTCTGAACAGTTATAGCATCTGATGGAAGATGTGTGAACAGTTATAGCATCTGATGGAAGATGTGTGACAGTTATAGCATCTGATGGAAGAAGTGTGAACAGTTATAGCCTCTGATGGAAGATGTGTCAATAGTTATAGCATCTGATGGAAGATGTGTGACAGTTATAGCATCTGATGGAAGATGTGTGAACAGTTATAGCATCTGATGGTAGATGTGTGAACAGTTATAGCATCTGATGGAAGATGTGTGAACAGTTATATCATCTGATGGAAGATGTGTGAACAGTTATAGCATCTGATAGAAGATGTGTGAACAGTTATAGCATCTGATAGAAGATGTGTGACAGTTATAGCATCTGATGGAAGATGTGTGAACAGTTATAGCTTCTGATGGAAGATTTGTGAACAGTTAAAGCATCTAATGGAAGATATGTGACAGTTATAGCATCTGATGGAAGATGTGTGAACAGTTATAGCATCTGATGGAAGATGTGTGAACAGTTATGGAAGATGTGTGACAGTTATAGCATCTGATGGAAGATGTGTGACAGTTATAGCATCTGATGGAAGATTTGTGAACAGTTATAGCTTCTGATGGAAGATGTGTGACAGTTATAGCATCTGATGGAAGATGTGTGAACAGTTATAGCATCTCATGGAAGATGTGTGAACAGTTTTAGCACCTGATGGAAGATGTGTGAGCAGTTATAGCATCTGATGGAAGATGTGTGAACAGTTATAGCATCTGATGGAAGATGTATGACAGTTATAGCATCTGATGGAAGATGTGTGACAGTTATAGCATCTGATGGAAGATGTGTGACAGTTATAGCATCTGATAGAAGATGTGTAAACAGTTACAGCATCTGATAGAAGATGTGTGACAGTTATAGCATCTGTTGGAAAATGTGTGACAGTTATAGCATCTGATGGAAGATGTGTGACAGTTATAGAATCTGATGGAAGATGTGTGAACAGTTATGGAAGATGTGTGAACAGTTATGGAAGATGTGTGACAGTTATAACATCTGATGGAAGATGTGTGAACAGTTATAGCATCTGATGGAAGATGTGTGACAGTTATAGCATCTGATGGAAGATGTGTGAACAGTTATGGAAAATGTGTGAACAGTTATAGCATCTGATGGAAGATGTGTGAACAGTTATAGCATCTGATGGAAGATGTGTGACAGTTATAGCATCTGATAGAAGATGTATGAACAGTTATAGCATCTGATGGAAGATGTGTGAACAGTTATAGCCATTTCCAGTCAGCCATCATCAGTCACTCCGTGGGTCAACAGTATCCACAGCCTGGGTCTCAGAAAGCACATCTCTACAGCCTTTAGGTTCTTCTTTATTTTCTCATTCACATTCCACGATTCACAGATATACCACAGTACTTGCTGAATATGACATTCAAAGATTCACAGATATACCACAGTACTGACTGAATATGACATTCCAAGATTCACAGATATACCACAGTACAGGCTCAATATGACATCCCAAGATTCACAGATATACCACAGTACTGGCTCAACATGACATTCCAAGATTCACAGATATACCACAGTACTGGCTCAACATGACATTCCAAGATTCACAGATATACCACAGTACAGGCTCAATAGGACATTCCAAGATTCACAGATATACCACAGTACAGGCTCAACATGACATCCCAAGATTCACAGATATACCAAAGTACTGGCTCAACATGACATTCCAAGATTCGCAGATATACCACACTACAGGCTCAATATGACATTCCAAGATTCACAGATATACCACAGTACTGGCTCAATATGATATCCCAAGATTCACAGATATACCACAGTACTGGCTCAATATAACATCCCAAGATTCACAGATATACCACAGTACTGGCTCAATATGACATTTCAAGATTCACAGATATACCACAGTACTGGCTCAATATAACATCCCAAGATTCACAGATATACCACAGTACAGGCTCAACATGACATCCCAAGATTCACAGATATACCACAGTACTGGCTCAACATGACATTCCAAGATTCACAGATATACCACAGTACTGACTCAACATGACATTCCAAGATTCACAGATATACCACAGTACAGGCTCAACATGACATTTCAAGATTCACAGATGTATTGGCTCAGTATGACATTCCAAGATTCACAGATATACCACAGTATTGGCTCAATATGACATTCCAAGATTCACAGATATACCACAGTACTGGCTCAACATGACATTCTAAGATTCACAGATATACCACAGTACTGGCTCAATATGACATTCCAAGATTCACAGATATACCACAGTACTGGCTCAACATGACATTGCAAGATTCACAGATATACCACAGTACTGGCTCAATATGACATTCCAAGATTCACAGATATACCACAGTACTGGCTCAACATGACATTGCAAGATTCACAGATATACCACAGTAATGGCTCAAAATGACATTGCAAGATTCACAGATATACCACAGTACTGGCTCAACATGACATTGCAAGATTCACAGATATACCACAGTAATGGCTCAACATGACATTCCAAGATTCACAGATATACCACAGTACTGACTCAATATGACATTCCAAGATTCACAGATATACCACAGTACTGGCTCAACATGACATTGCAAGATTCACAGATATACCACAGTACTGGCTCAATATGACATTCCAAGATTCACAGATATACCACAGTACAGGCTCAACATGACATTTCAAGATTCACAGATGTATTGGCTCAGTATGACATTCCAAGATTCACAGATATTGTTTAGCTGTAACTGGATATTTGTGAACTACAGCTGGTTATTTGTGAACTAAAACGGAATTTTTGTTAACTACAACTTGTTATTTGTGAACTATAACGGAATTTTTGTTAACTACAACTTGTTATTTGTGAACCATAACTGGATGTTTGTGAACTACAACTGGTTATTTGTGAGCAACAACTGGATGTTTCTGAGCTAAAAGTTGATATTGTTTCGCTGTAACTGGATGTTTCTGAGCTACTAGTTGATATTGTTTAGCTGTAACTGGATATTTGTGAACTACAGCTGGTTATTTGTGAACTATAACGGAATGTTTGTGAACTACAACTTGTTATTTGTGAACTATAACGGAATGTTTGTGAACTACAACTTGTTATTTGTGAACTATAATTGGATGTTTGTGATTTACAACTGGTTATTTGTGAGCAACAACTGGATGATTCTGAGCTAAAAGTTGATATTGTTTAGCTGTAACTGGATGTTTGTGAGCTACAACTAGTTATTTGTGAACTACAATTGTCTGTCTGTTTATTTAGTAGCTAAGTCACCTTCTGTTGTTGATTTCCCAGTCTCCTTTCCTTGAAATATCTGTCTGTTTTGCTTGCAGGTTCCCCCAGATTGGAATTCAGTGTGCCAAGAAGAAGGACGTGGAGGCTGCCCTGAAACTGCGCAAGGAAATTAATGTAGATCCATTTCAGAGTAAGCATTCGTGTATTGTGTACAGAGCTTTGTGCAAAACATGGTCACAGACAACCTGGCCCACAAGAAAACCGGAAATAAAAATAAAGGACCCTTTTCCACGCCTTCAGGCATACAGGGCTAGACCTATATTTTTATAGACCATCGGCACAAGATGGGTGATGTGGTCAGCTTCACGCCAAAACTGGAAATAGAGCAACAGATTATGTAGCTCATACAGTACATCAAGTAGTGCAGGCAACTCGAGACCACAGAGAGCTACACAACAGAACAGAGAGCTACACAAAAGAACAGAGCTACACAACAGAACAGAGAGCTACAGAACAGAGAGCTACACAACAGAACAGAAAACTACACAAGAGAACAGAGAACTACACAACAGAACAGAAAACTACACAACAGAACAGAGAGCTACAGAACAGATAGCTACACAACAGAACAGAGAGCTACACAACAGAATGGAGCTACACAACAGAACAGAGCTACACAACAGAACAGAGAGCTACACAACAGAACAGAGAGCTACACAACAGAATGGAGTTACACAACAGAACAGAGAACTACAGAACAGAGAGCTGCACAACAGAACAGAGAGCTACACAACAGAACAGAGAACTACACAACAGAACTGAGAACTACAGAACAGAGAGCTACACAACAGAACAGAGAACTACACAAGAGAACAGAAAACTACACATCAGAACAGAGAACTACACATCAGAACAGAGAGCTACACAACAGAACAGAGAACTACACAACAGAACAGAGAACTACACAACAGAACAGAGAGCTACACAACAGAACAGAGAGCTGCACAGCAGAGCAGAGAGCTACACAACAGAACAGAGACCTACACAACAGAACAGAGAGCTACACAACAGAACAGCTACACAACAGAATAGAGAGCTTCACAACAGAACAGAGAGAGCTACACAACAGAACAGAGCTACACAACAGAACAGAGAGCTACACAACAGAACAGAGAGCTACACAACAGAACAGAGAGCTACACAACAGAACAGAAAGCTACACAACAGAACAGAGCTGCAGAACAGAAAACTACACAACACATTGAAATAATATAGCACAAAACCAGATTTCTCTTTTCTGCTAGTCACAGTTTGGCAAATACAGACTCATGTGAATGTCCTTGAACAACATGAAGAAACAATTTCATAACCCATCATCTGGACTAAGAATGAAAACTGATTCACACGGAAAACTCATCATCTGGACTAAGAATGAAAACTGAATTTCAGGAAAAAAAAAACCTCATTTGGACTAAGAATGAAAACTGAATCTCAGGGAAAACTTATCACCTGGACTAAGAATGAAAACTGAATCTCAGGGAAAACCCCTTATCTGGACTAAGAATGAAAACTGAATCTCAGGGAAAACCTCTCATCTGGACTAAGAATGAAAACTGAATCTCAGGGAAAACTCATCATTTGGACTAAGAATGAAAACTGAATCTCAGGTGAAACTTATCACCTGGACTAAGAATGAAAACTGAATCTTAGGGAAAACTCATCATCTAGACTAAGAATGAAAACTGAATCTCAGGGAAAACTCATCATCTGGACTAAGAATGAAAACTGAATCTCAGGGAAAACTCATCATCTGGACTTAAAAATGAAAAATGAATCTCAGGGGAAACTCATCATCTGGACTAAGAATGAAAACTGAATCTCAGGGGAAACTTATCACCTGGACTAAGAATGAAAACTGAATCTTAGAGAAAACTCATCATCTGGACTAAGAATGAAAACTGAATCTCAGGGAAAACTCATCATCTGGACTAAGAATGAAAACTGAATCTCAGGGAAAACTCATCATCTGGACTAAGAATGAAAACTGAATCTCAGGGGAAACTCATCATCTGGACTAAGAATGAAAACTGAATCTCAGGGAAAACTCATCATCTGGACTAAGAATGAAAACTGAATCTCAGGGGAAACTCATCACCTGGACTAAGAATGAAAACTGAATCTCAGGGGAAACTTATCACCTGGACTAAGAATGAAAACTGAATCTTAGGGAAAACTCATCATCTGGACTAAGAATGAAAACTGAATCTCAGGGAAAACTCATCATCTGGACTAAGAATGAAAACTGAATCTCAGGGAAAACTCATCACCTGGACTAAGAATGAAAACTGAATCTCAGGGAAAACTCATCATCTGGACTAAGAATGAAAACTGAATCTCAGGGGAAACTTATCACCTGGACTAAGAATGAAAACTGAATCTTAGGGAAAACTCATCATCTGGACTAAGAATGAAAACTGAATCTCAGAGAAAACTCCTCATCTGGACTTAAGAATGAAAACTGAATCTCAGAGAAAACCCCTCATTTGGACTAAGAATGAAAACTGAATCTCAGGGAAAACCCATAATCTGGACTAAGAATGAAAATTGAATCTTATGGAAAACTTATCACCTGGACTAAGAATGAAAACTGAATCTCAGGGAAAACTTATCTCCTGAACTGAGATTGAAAACTGAATCTCAGGGAAAACTCATCATCTGGTCTAAGAATGAAAACTGAATCTCAGGGAAAACTCATTATCTGGACTAAGAATGAAAACTGAATCTCAGGGAAAACTCATCATCTGGACTAAGAATGAAAACTGAATCTCAGGGGAAACTTATCACCTGGACTAAGAATGAAAACTGAATCTCAGGGGAAACTTATCACCTGGACTAAGAATGAAAACTGAATCTCAGGGAAAACTTATCACCTGGACTAAGAATGAAAAATGAATCTTAGGGAGAACTCATCATCTGGACTAAGAATGAAAACTGAATCTCAGGGAAAACTCATCATCTGGACTAAGAATGAAAACTGAATCTCAGGGAAAACCCCTCATCTGGACTAAGAATGAAAACTTAATCTTAGGGAAAACTCATCATCTGGACTAAGATTGAAAACTGAATCTCAGGGAAAACCCCTCATCTGGACTAAGAATGAAAACTGAATCTTAGGGAAAACTCATCATCTGGACTAAAAAGTGTGTCATGTGTGACCAGAAATTTGGAAAGTTAAAACTGCTGTGGTTTCAGAAATGGGTCATGTTTTAATTCTATGCTGTTTTCCTGTAAGGTGGAGGAGAAACAAGATGGGAAGTCAGTTGAAGTGAGTATAATGTTACAGGGACCTGGCTCTGGTGAAGTATAATGTTACAGAGATGTCCTGGTGATTGGTGATGTAAATTGTTACAGGAACTTCCCAGTGGATATAAATGTTACAAATATTTCCTGGTGATGTATAATATTACAGGGACATCTTGGTGATGCAGATTGTTCTGTTTTCAGCTGGCTTTGAACACATACAGTCCAATATTGATCTCAATGTTGTTCGCCTGTGTTTTCAAGTATTTCTGCCAAACGAACAGGGCAAGATTACCAGAGTTGTCCCTCCAGTAGTATCACAAGCCATACACGACAAAAGTAAGTCTATCCGGTATATTTGTGCAACATTGAACATTGTGCTGTGTACGGTATCACATGTGGTAGGGAAGTGTTGTGTACGGTATCACATGTGGTAGGGAAGTGCGGTGTTCAGTATCACATGTGGTAGGGAAGGACTGTGTACGGTATCACATGTGGTAGGGAAGGACTGTGTACAGTATCACATGTGGTAAGGAAGGACTGTGTACGGTATCACATGTGGTAGGGAAGGACTGTGTACAGTATCACATGTGGTAGGAAAGTGCTGTGTACAGTATCACATGTGGTAAGGAAGGACTGTGTACAGTATCACAGGTGGTAGGGAAGGACTGTGTACAGTATCCCATGTGGTAGGGAAGGACTGTGTACAGTATCACATGTGGTAAGGAAGGACTGTGTACGGTATCACATGTGGTAGGGAAGGACTGTGTACAGTATCCCATGTGGTAGGGAAGTGCTGTGTACAGTATCACATGTGGTAAGGAAGGACTGTGTACAGTATCACATGTGGTAGGGAAGTGCTGTGTACAGTATCACATGTGGTAGGGAAGTGCTGTGTACAGTATCACAGGTGGTAGGGAAGTGTTGTGTACAGTATCACATGTGGTAGGGAAGTGCTGTGTTCAGTATCACAGGTGGTAGGAAAGTGCTGTGTACAGTATCACAGGCGGTAGGAAAGTGCTGTGTACAGTATCACATGTGGTAGGGAAGTGCTGTGTACAGTATCACATGTGGTAGGGAAGTGCTGTGTACAGTATCACATGTGGTAGGAAAGTGCTGTGTACAGTATCTCAGGCGGTAGGAAAGTGCTGTGTACAGTATCACATGTGGTAGGGAAGTGCTGTGTACAGTATCACATGTGGTAGGGAAGTGCTGTGTACAGTATCACAGGCGGTAGGGAAGTGTTGTGTACAGTATCACAGGTGGTAGGGAAGTGCTGTGTACAGTATCACAGGTGGTAGGGAAGTGCTGTGTACGGTATCACATGTGGTAGGAAAGTGCTGTGTTCAGTATCACATGTGGTAGGGAGGTGCTGTGTACAGTATCACATGTGCTAGAGAAGTGATGTGTACAGTATCACAGGCGGTAGGAAAGTGCTGTGAACAGTATCACAGGTGGTAGAGAAGTGATGTGTACAGTATCACAGGCGGTAGGAAAGTGCTGTGTACAGTATCACATGTGCTAGAGAAGTGATGTGTACAGTATCACAGGCGGTAGGAAAGTGCTGTGTACAGTATCACATGTGGTAGGGAAGTGCTGTGTACAGTATCACATGTGGTAGGGAAGTTGTGTGTACAGTATCACAGGTGGTAGGGAAGTTGTGTGTACAGTATCACAGGTGGTAGGGAAGTGCTGTGTACAGTATCACGTGTGCTAAGAAAGTGCTGTGTACAGTATCACATGTGGTAGGGAAGTGCTGTGTACAGTATCACATGTAGTAGGGCTATTCTACATGTTTGGCTTGAGCTAACCTTACATTTGTGCCTGTTTGTACTTTTCTTCTAGAATCGTCTAAAGACCTTGTCATTTGTAGAGTGGATAGAAGCTCTGGGAAAGCTCGTGGAGGAGATGAAATCTTCCTCTTGTGTGACAAAGTTAATAAAGGTTTGCACTGTCTCTGTGTGTGATGACAATTGATTTTTAAACAGAAAATCTCTAGGTTCAATAAAATCCATGCAGAAAATATGATACAAAAATGTCTAATGATGGAAATCCCATTTGAGAACTGAGATCTGTCAGGATGTGTCCTCCTCTGAAACAAAACCTAGAGATTAAAATATGTCGTCTTTTTGGGGGAAGTTGAGCATAATTTTCTGAACTTGGAAAACAAGAAGGTCCACAAAGAAAATGACATGTCAAGAAGTCTGCTCCAGACCACAGATGCCTGGAGAAATTACATGTTTCAGCTGAAAGGCACACAAATCTAAAACTGAACTAAATTAGGCAGCCCTCAATTAACATCCCAACATGCCACAGCTAACATCCCAGCATGACACTGCTAACATCCCAACATGCCACAGCTAACATCCCAACATGCCACAGCTAACATCCCAACATGCCACAGCTAACATCCCAACATGCCACAGCTAACATCCCAACATGCCACAGCTAACATCCCAACATGCCACAGCTAACATCCCAACATGCCACAGCTAACATCCCAACATGACACAGCTAACATCCCAACATGCCACAGCTAACATCCCAACATGACACAGCTAACATCCCAACATGCCACAGCTAACATCCCAACATGCCACAGCTAACATCCCAACATGCCACAGCTAACATCTAAACATAACACAGCTAACATTCCAACATGTCACAGCTAACATCCCAACATGACACAGCTAACATCCCAACATGCCACAGCTAACATTCCAACATGCCACAGCTAACATCCCAACATGACACAGCTAACATTCCAACATGCCACAGCTAACATCCCAACATGCCACAGCTAACATCTAAACATAACACAGCTAACATCCCAACATGCCACAGCTAACATCCCAACATGCCACAGCTAACATTCCAACATGCCACAGCTAACATTCCAACATGTCACAGCTAACATTCCAACATGCCACAGCTAACATTCCAACATGACACAGCTAACATCCCAACATGCCACAGCTAACATCCCAACATGTCACAGCTAACATCCCAACATGCCACAGCTAACATCCCAACATGTCACAGCTAACATCCCAACATGTCACAGCTAACATCCCAACATGCCACAGCTAACATCCCAGCATGACACAGCTAACATTCCAACATGCCACAGCTAACATCCCAACATGCCACAGCTAACATTCCAACATGCCACAGCTAACATCCCAACATGTCACAGCTAACATCCCAACATGCCACAGCTAACATCCCAACATGTCACAGCTAACATCCCAACATGTCACAGCTAACATCCCAACATGTCACAGCTAACATCCCAACATGCCACAGCTAACATCCCAACATGACACAGCTAACATCCCAACATGACACAGCTAACATTCCAACATAACACAGCTAACATCCCAACATGCCACAGCTAACATCCCAACATGACACAGCTAACATTCCAACATAACACAGCTAACATTCCAACATGCCACAGCTAACATTCCAACATGCCACAGCTAACATCCCAACATGCCACAGCTAACATTCCAACATGCCACAGCTAACATTCCAACATAACACAGCTAACATTCCAACATGCCACAGCTAACATCCCAACATGCCACAGCTAACATTCCAACATAACACAGCTAACATTCCAACATGCCACAGCTAACATTCCAACATAACACAGCTAACATTCCAACATAACACAGCTAACATCCCAACATGCCACAGCTAACATCCCAACATGCCACAGCTAACATTCCAACATGCCACAGCTAACATTCCAACATAACACAGCTAACATCCCAACATGCCACAGCTAACATCCCAACATGCCACAGCTAACATTCCAACATGACACAGCTAACATCCCAACATGCCACAGCTAACATCCCAACATGCCACAGCTAACATTCAGCTAACATCCCAACATGCCACAGCTAACATCCCAACATGCCACAGCTAACATTCCAACATGCCACAGCTAACATTCCAACATGCCACAGCTAACATCTAAACATAACACAGCTAACATCCCAACATGCCACAGCTAACATCCCAACATACCACAGCTAACATCCCAACATGCCACAGCTAACATCCCAACATGCCACAGCTAACATCCCAGCATGACACAGCTAACATCCTAACATGCCACAGCTAACATGCCACAGCTAACATCCCAACATGCCACAGCTAACATTCCAACATGCCACAGCTAACATCCCAACATGCCACAGCTAACATCCCAACATGTCACAGCTAACATCCCAGCATGACACAGCTAACATCCCAACATGCCACAGCTAACATTCCAACATGCCACAGCTAACATTCCAACATGCCACAGCTAACATTCCAACATGACACAGCTAACATTCCAACATGCCACAGCTAACATCCCAACATGCCACAGCTAACATCCCAACATGCCACAGCTAACATTCCAACATGCCACAGCTAACATCCCAACATGTCACAGCTAACATTCCAACATGCCACAGCTAACATTCCAACATGCCACAGCTAACATTCCAACATGCCACAGCTAACATCTAAACATAACACAGCAAACATCCCAACATGCCACAGCTAACATCCCAACATGCCACAGCTAACATCCCAACATGCCACAGCTAACATCCCAACATGCCACAGCTAACATCCCAACATGCCACAGCTAACATCCCAGCATGACACAGCTAACATCCTAACATGCCACAGCTAACATCCCAACATGCCACAGCTAACATCCCAACATAACACAGCTAACATCTAAACATAACACAGCTAACATTCCAACATACCACAGCTAACATCTAAACATAACACAGCTAACATCTAAACATAACACAGCTAACATCTAAACATAACACAGCTAACATTCCAACATACCACAGCTAACATCTAAACATAACACAGCTAACATCCCAACATGTCACAGCTAACATTCCAACATAACACAGCTAACATTCCAACATGCCACAGCTAACATTCCAACATGCCACAGCTAACATCTAAACATAACACAGCTAACATCCCAACATGCCACAGCTAACATCCCAACATGTCACAGCTAACATCCCAACATGCCACAGCTAACATCCCAACATGCCACAGCTAACATCCCAACATGCCACAGCTAACATCCCAACATGCCACAGCTAACATCCCAACATGTCACAGCTAACATCCTAGCATGACACAACTAAAATCCCAGCATGCCACATACATAAAAGCACAGCTTTCACCAGCTAAACAGAATGATGTGTTTCTTGTCATCTGCTGACTGGGCAGTGTTGACAGCCAAATCATAGTTGAATGCTGCCTGTGAATGACGGACCTTGCTTCATGGATGGCGTTTCTCTTTTGGCCATAATAAAATCAGACTGATTATTTAATCTCTACGTGTTCACAGCGAATATTTGCTGCTATCGAGATCTGTGTGTTGACAGAGATTATTTGTCCTTACTGAAATCCGTATTGATATCTATGTGTTCACAGAATATATTTTCCCTTAATGAGATATGTGTGTTCACAGATTATTATTTGTCCTTACTGAGATCTATGTGTTAACAGATTATTATTTGTCCTTACTGAGATCTATGTGTTCACAGATTATTATTTGTCCTTACTGAGATCTATGTGTTCATATAGACAATTTGTCCCTAATTAGATCTATGTGTTCACAGAGACTATTTGTCCTTACTGAGATCTGTGTGTTCACAGAGACTATTTGTCCTTACTGAGATCTGTGTGTTCACAGAGATTATTTGCCCTTACTGAGTTCTGTGTGTTCACAGAGATTGTTTGCCCTTACTGAGATCTGTGTGTTGACAGAGACTATTTGTCCTTACTGAGATCTGTGTGTTGACAGAGACTATTTGTCCTTACTGAGATCTGTGTGTTGACAGAGACTATTTGTCCTTACTGAGATCTGTTTGTTCACAGAGAATTGTTGTTCTAATTGTTCACAGAGGATATCAAGATCAAGTTTTATGAAGAAGATAATCAGGGAGTGACTCTCTGGGAGGATCATGCTGACTTTGGACAGGGAGATGTTCATCGCCAGGTTGGTTGCTTTTTTCTCCTCATATTCACCATTGGTAGATTTAGTCGATAAACTCTCTGTAACTTTCTCCCATTTACCATTGATAGCTTTAGTCGGTAACCTCGCTCTGTAACTTTCTCCCATTCACCATTAATAGCTTTAGTCAAGCTCTATGTCACTTTCTCCCATTTAGCATTGATAGTCAAGTCTTTATCCCACTTGCTCTCATTCACCATTGATAGCTTCAGTCTTAAACTCTCTTTATAGCTTTCTCCCATTCACCATTGATAGCACTATTCACTTCTCTGTGTCACTTTCTCCCATTCACCATTGATAGCTTTAGTCAAGTCCCTAAACTTTCTCCCATTTACCATTGATAGCTTTAGTCGGTAACCTCGCTCTGTAACTTTCTCCCATTCACCATTAATAGCTTTAGTCAAGCTCTATGTCACTTTCTCCCATTTAGCATTGATAGTCAAGTCTTTATCCCACCCCATTCACCATTGATAGCACTATTCACTTCTCTGTGTCACTTTCTCCCATTCACCATTGATAGCTTTAGTCAAGTCCCTATCCCACTTTCTCCCATTCACCATTGATAGCTGCAGTCACTTCTATGCGTCACTTTCTCCCATTCACCATTTATAGCTCTATTCACTTCTCTGTATCACTTTCTCCCATTCACCATTGATAGCTGCAGTCACTTCTATGCGTCACTTTCTCCCATTCACCATTTATAGCTCTATTCACTTCTCTGTGTCACTTTCTCCCATTCACCATTGATAGCTCTATTCACTTCTCTGTGTGGCTTTCTCCCATTCACCATCGATAGCTGCAGTCAAGTCTTTATGTCACTTTCTCCCATTCACCATTGATAGCTCTATTCACTTCTCTGATGTTGTGGCACAGTCGTGCCTATACATCCCCCAAGAAATAGATGTGCCTAAGTCGGCCAAGTGAATGAATATAGTTCGTATCTCTCTTCAATCGTACTCAAGAACAAGGCCAGTGATGTAACAATTACACAAGAGCTGTTTATTTACAATATTCCAGTCATAGAGGCTTCATAAATTCAATAGTATATGAACACTGTATTATCTGGATACAGGCTATTCGTATGACTCTCTACGAGTTCCTTAACCACTGTTCTAGCTAAACTCCAAGTTTAACATATACCTTCTAAACGAAGTAAATCACTAGTTTTCTCCTAACCGGTCTTTCCAGCGGTTCAGCCCTAACCTGTCCTATCCAGCGGTTCCGTGGCTAACTGTCCTCTCCAGCGGTTCCGGGACTAACTTTATTCCCCCGCTTTCCCGCCTTTCTGGCGTACCCTCTCCATCACTTCTCTGTCACCTGTCTTTGGTGGTCACGTCTGGATGAACGTATCTCACAGTTCACGGGCACTCGTCGAATGTTTCATCCCTCACTGTCAGATGTCATGGCGGTGTGTTCTGCATAGCTGGCTAGGCCATGGCTTTCTAATCACCTATTTCTGTCATTTCACACAGTGATGGATTAGTACGCTGTGTGGTGGTCTGAAATGTATGCTTGTTCATTTAACCCCTTTTCTGCCTATATTTCGTTACATTCGCCCTTCACACTTTTTAACAAAATTGTTTCCTATCTTCAATTTATAAAAACTACTCTAATTATACCCGCTACCTAACTAAACCTTATGTGAACATCTAGCCACGTAATGAAAGCATACAACATAACATGTAACATCATAAAATTCATGCAGTATAATGAAAACGTGACATGCATACAATAACTAATAGTCAATAATTCTAAAGACATAAAAAAAAACGATACAACTCCCTCGTTGTATTAGCATAACGACCTCTTATTCACTGGTATCCCTAATGAATGTGCGGAGTTGTCTGAAGTATAAAGGAATAGTATCTGTATTCCTCCTTTATAAACTCAAACCTGAAAACATTGTATACAAGAAATGACATGCCATGTATCCCCAGTTATCAATAAAATAAAACTCGAAAATGTCATCTCCCCAAAGAAAAGATGAAAACAGAATCTCTGAGAAAGTCAACATAGATTGAATAATAAGGTATAACCTTTACAGAGTATAAATAATTCTTATAACGTTAGGTATATTAATTGGAGAGAAATTTCTCGGAAACAATAGTAGCATTTCCTCCAGTCGAATGTACAATGCCACCACCTGTATTTACAGGCATTTATCTACTGTGATAATCCACAGGGTTTATTGTTGCTTCCCTAAGAGGTTGCTTCCTCTGTTTAATGCATATCGCATCTTCTGTAAAGAAATAGCCGGCCTATATTCAGTTACCAATCATGTCATGCTTTGGACTGGCTTATCGCCAAGTACGTTTCTAACTGTGTACCTCAGTAAAGTCTGGTTAAACTCAAATCAGTCATCATTCTGACAGAATGTATAAGAGAGGTTTTGTGGCCAGTAACTCTCTTAGCGAACATAAAACATGTAGATATTGTAATCTTCACCCACAACCGAACGTGTGGATTTTCACTTGTCCGAGAGAGTACAACACGATAAAAAAACGTTCATAGTGCAGAACCAAATGTAAATATTAAATGGTAAGGACAAAACAACAGGTATATATTTAATATTGTCGGACAAATGACATGTAGACACAACAATATAATATGTGTAGCGAGCGCGGTACCTCTGTACACAGCAATATAGCGTACGTAATTTGTAATTAATGAAACTACTAATTACTTGTTATACACCCTACAATCCCACATTTATTGAACCATTTTACGGACGATCCCATTTCATTCAGTCATGGGAAAAGAAAAAGGAGGGGGGGGGGGGGGGGAAGCTGTAATTAATGTATGGTTTACTCAGGGTATAAATTCAGTCTACCCCCTGATGATTCTGGTCTACTAACTGTAGTGGATGCTAATTGTTCTAGTTCTATTTCTTCTTCTGTCTCATTAGTGATCTGTGTTTTTTCTTTTATTAAATGATTAGTTACTTTTGTACATTTAATGCCTTTCCTTCGCAAATAAAGAAAAGTTATAAGTCACATCAATATGCATAATCCAGATATCAGTATGATCCTGTTTCTGTGTGTATTTAAAGTATTGTCTTGTAAATTAAGTTATGCATCGTACACATGTGTTCGCCTTAATTATACTAAAAGGTGTCGTGTATGCCATTTATTAGACGCTCCAGAGCTCTGAAATAAAGTGGAACAACTTATTAATTTTGCTATATTCGGTAGATGCCACTTCATTACGACACTTATGGCTACTTTTATTTCCGTGTAAATTTCCATCTAATACATTTGATTTTCTCGCATCTTTATTTTCCTGTAAACCATGCCGCTCGTTTAAATCGGTGTGCGAATTTTTAATGCCCGACATTCTTGTCTCCTGTTTTGCTCTTTTGTTAGGCGAAGTTTCTACTGTTTCTTCTTCTTCTCTTCTACTATTACATGTACCTTTAACTGGTACTTCTGACGGTTTTACTTCTTTCACACTAGACGGAGTATTGGTCCTGGTTCTAACCGCGACTAAAATTCTACGACCCGTTTTGTTTGTGATCCCAATTTCACTATCTGCGTCGTAGTTTTCTGAGAATAGATCTACCTTTATGTTACTAACTACAAACGGTAATGTATTTATTCCTTCACCTTCTTCTTCTGTAGGCATCACCTGTTTATAAGACAAATCCTGCTGATTTCTTTCTTTAATTGTCCCTACCCTCTCTACTTTCCTATGTGTGCTATTGCTATCTAGCCTTTTTACTTCTACCGCGTTTACTTCCCATAACCATTCCATTGCTAAACAACCATCTTCATCTTCTTCTTGTTCCGACTTAGCATAATTTCGCCTGTCTGGGAAACCGGACAGTCGATTAACATCGCCGTTACTTCTAGTGACTGTAGCTATGTTATTATTTCTTTCTCTCTGTCTTTGTCTACGACTATCTACTGTTGACCAATGCTGGGCAGTTTTTTGTTCTATAAAAAATGGAATACGGAGTAGTCTACCTAACTGTGCTACTTCATTAAAAACTCTGCTAAACTGTGCTCTCACTGTTCCTTGATATGCCATTATTAAAACCTGGAAAATTAACTAATGTAAACTAAAATAGAATTTAAAACAGAAAAATGTCGTATTACCTTGTTAAGTGCGGTCTGAAAAAAAAAATTCTCTTTTCACAACACACTGTAATTAAAAATCGGCACTGTCCTGGAATTATTTTCTAAGTTAATAGGAAAGGTAGGGAAAGATAAGAAAAGGTTTTCCCTACACCACTGTAAATTGAAAATCACAATATATTTAAACTAATTAATGTTAATGTTCAAGGTTCTTTAAAATCGCGCTTATTTTGCAGTTCCTATTTGTAAAATCGGACAGCTCACAGTTCTTGACTTTCCTATAATCTTCCGAGTGTGTAAAGTTAGGAAAAGTTTATATTATGGCTCCAGACTAGAACGGGCGCGTCCCCCTGATTCTAGTGTAGACGGTTTGCTCCGGGCTAGAACGGGCATGTCCCCCTGATTCTAGTGTAGACGGTTTGCTCCGGGCTAGAACGGGCGTGTCCCCCTGATTCTAGTGTAGACGGTTGGCTCCAAAAGGTGGTGCAGGCTGTTGGTCTGGTTTACGTCTCTCCAATCTGATGACGGGTTTATCGACTTTTTTGTTTTACTCAGCAGGTACAATCATAAACTTGCTTTTAGTTCACCTTTTTATAGCAGTTGCTTATTTGTTATGTTGTAACAGCAGTCTTGTTTTTTAAAGATGTCGAGTACACAAGACTGATCGTTGGTCACGGCTCCAAATATCCTCATCACTTGTGGCACAGTCGTGCCTATACATCCCCCAAGAAATAGATGTGCCTAAGTCGGCCAAGTGAATGAATATAGTTCGTATCTCTCTTCAATCGTACTCAAGAACAAGGCCAGTGATGTAACAATTACACAAGAGCTGTTTATTTACAGTATTCCAGTCATAGAGGCTTCATAAATTCAATAGTATATGAACACTGTATTATCTGGATACAGGCTATT